GAATCATGTCATCTGCAAATAGAGATAGTTTTACTTTTATTTTTCTTGCCTCATTGCTCTGGCTAGAACTTCTAGTGCCATGTTGAGTAGCAGCAGTGAAAGTGGACGTCCTTGTCTCATTCCTGATCTTAGGGGGAAAGCTTTGTCTCACCATTGAGTATGAAGTTAGCTGTGGGTTTCTCATTAAATGCCCTTTATTGTGTTGAGGAAGTTCCGCTCTATTCCTAGTGTCTTGCTCATGAAAGAGTGTCATGTTTGTGACTTTGGGCCACTCGGTTGCAGGTTGTATGGTTTCTTCACTGCACAGTTGCTCTTTCTCTTTTGTAATTATAATTACTAAGTCATTTTTGAGTACAGTTAGACATTGGTTTACGACTCTCACCAACAAGCTTAAGGAATAGCTGTATAAAAGGTGTGTTCTCATTATAAAAAAGGAAAAGAGCATTTGCTGCATCTGTCTCTGAGCAGACATTTGCATGTGGCCAGGCACACGTGCCTGCTTGGCCCAGGGCAATTGGTGTTCATGCTGCCCTCTTTGTTTAACAGCCTGATTCAGACTCCACCAAACACTCAACCCCATCGAACAGTTCCAACCCCAGCGGCCCGCCAAGCCCCAACTCCCCCCACCGGAGCCAGCTCCCCCTTGAAGGCCTGGAGCAGCCAACCTGTGACGCCTGAAGCCGCCAGCCCACCACCATGGGGCCAAGGAGCTGGGGATGGCCTCCAACGTCAGTGCCAAGACTGAGCTGACCCTCCAGTGTTGTCCAAGGAAATGTAGAATCAATTTGTAGATACGAAGATGAAGAAAAATCTTTATTATAATAGTTTTATGCCGCATTGTTCGTGGCAATTAGCTCAGACCAGATCCATTCGTCTGCACAGCTGTGAGGTGACACTACTCCGTTTGCACATGAAGGACCACCGCGCAGCCTCTATCCCACCCCTGACATCCCGGGAAGACGTGTGGGCTCCGCCGGCGCCAGCTCCCTCCGCAGAAACCCATTAGAACGTGGCCTGCTTAGGAAGCAGACAGCTCGGGATGTGGCCTCAGTGACTAGTCTTCTCCTGCGTCCTAGGACCTTAGGAAAGCAGCAGGATGGTTGCGTACCTTTCCCAGTGTCACTAGAATCTTGAAGACAGGGAAGTGGAGGTTAGTTTGTGGCCTTTTTACTCGTGTAGCCATTGCATTGAAATCCTTCTGCTGACCGCCTCGGTGTGGACAGAGGCCTGGGACCAGTGACACCCCACATCCCCGAGTGTTAGTTCATTCTGGGTCACAGCCATGAAGTGTCACCAGTATCTACTACTGTGAAGTCAGCTGTGCTGTTTTCCACTCACTTCCATGGCTTCTGCCTCCTGCCATAAAACTAGCAAGTGTCGTGGTATAGGCAGGCCCTGTGGCCTGCTGGGCTGAGGAGGCCAGAGCCCCAGGGTGAGCAGGCACTGGGACACCCCCGCCCCGCCCCGCCCTGCCCCTGCATGGAGCCCCAGTGATTAGTAGCCCATATGGATCATGTAGAATCACCCGGCACACTCCTGCACAGTGGCCCCGGCCCCCAGCGTGGTGGCGCCCTGCGAGTGTATTTAACCCACCCTTCCTTGTATATGTTGAGTGATCGGGTCTGTGGCCCTGTCTCATTTAAGGCTTGTGATTAACTGTGGCAGCACATACAGCTTGTCCTCAGCTCAGGGCGGGCTTCCCGTCCTCCCACTGGTCGACTGCTTGGCAAGGCTGTTGAGGACACGCACTTCCCCGAGTCGGCACTGAGTGACCTGGCACCGCCCAGCACCTGCCCACCCCTCCCGCCCTCCTGGGCCGTCTGCTGGGCGGGCACCTGCTGGGGGTTCTGGTTTTTACTTTTTTAATGTAAGTCTGAGTCTTTGTAATTATTGAATCGTGAGAACCTTTTTGAACAATTTACCTGTCAATAAAGCAGACGACAGCAGTTTTAAAGTTCCAAGTGGTTTGGATGTGATGATGGGTCTCCTGAGCGTGTCTGGGCTCCCCAGAAGTGCCCCGACGTGGAAATTCCTCCCCCAGAACCAGTCGGGGTGCCACCCTGTCGGCGGAAGTCGGTCTTGGTGATTCCCCGGGAGGTCGCACAAAAAGCTGCTGGTCTCCACGAGGCAGGAGCAGCCTCCAGCGCCAAGGCCCTCGGTGGAGGGTCCCCAGTGGCTACACCTGTGCCCCGTTAGGCTGGGTCAGGCACCGGCTGCAGGCTGCAGGGAGGGGCAGCCTGGCCAAGCGCTTGTGCTGGGTTTCCAGGTCCCACTGAGAGGCCTCAGCAGAGGCCAAGTAGTAGCCAAGGAGCTCGAATTTCAGCCTGAGCGCGGGGGAGCCAGCAAGGGCACGGGGACGGCGGCCTGCCTGTGGCCCAGGGCAGCCTGAGGGCCCCACGAGGAAGCTGCCCAGCAGGCTCACCTGTCCTCATCCACACACACTGGCCCCTGCAGCAGCCTGAAGGGACAGGCCAGAGGCCAGGGTGGGAGATGACACTGGGGTGGGGCACGCTGGTAGGAGGGTCTGAGCTTCCCCAAATTATGTGGGGAGTTGGGTCCTGCTTGCCTCTCTGAGACCTCTAGTTAGGCCTTGGCCAGGTGAGGGATGCGCTGCACCTGTCAAAGAGAGCGGTGCAAGGAGAGCGGTGGCAAGGGGGCTGCCTGGGACCCTGCTGCTCTGTGCCACTCAGCACGGCCTGTGTCTGCTGCCAAAACAAGCAGCTCCCACGGAAGCACAGAGCTTCCTCACAGCCCACGCAGCGGTGGGGCCACTCGGCAGCCACCCAGGATCCAGGGGAGGGGCCTTCTCACCGGGCCCGGCGCTCACTGCCAGGAAGGAGCGTGGCGAATTCTAGGAGCATCAACCCACTCCCGTTTCCTGGGCAAGTCTGGCCTCACCTCACTCGCCAAGAGACAGCCTGCAGCCCTCCCAGCTGCCCGCCAAAATGGGAGTGAGGGGTGGCAGCAGCAGTGGCCACACAGGCACAGAAGGAGCCTTCCAAAAACACTTCACTGAACTACAGCAGCTGAAAAACCTGAAAAATGCCTGAGTGTTGGGTGGGTGGTGGAGCTTCGGGGTCGGACAGGCTCAGCTCCCAGCTCCCCCGCCCGGCGTTAAAGCCGGCAGTGACTGCTGAGCGCCCGTGCTGGGTCTGAACAGCACGCGTCAGCCACTTTTTTTTTTTTTGAGACAGAGTCTCACTTTGTTGCCCGGGCTAGAGTGCCGTGGCGTCATCCTAGCTCACAGCAACCTCAAACTCCTGGGCTCAAGCGATCCTCCTGCCTCAGCCTCCCGAGCAGCTGGGACTACAGGCATGAGCCACCATGCCCGGCTAATTTTTTCTATATATTTTTAGTTGTCCGATTAATTTCTTTCTAATTTTAGTAGAGACGGGGTCTCGCTCTTGCTCAGGCTGGTTTCGAACTCCTGAGCTCAAACAATCCGCCCGCCTCGGCCTCCCAGAGAGCTAGGATTACAGGCGTGAGCCACCGCGCCCGGCCTCAGCCACTTTTTAAATAGGACATTTTAGCTCTTGGAATAAAAAAGTGAACGAACTGTGGCGTTCACACAATGGAATGCTATATAACAGCAGGCCCCTACCTTTCTGGCACCAGGGACTGGTTTCATGGAAGACAAGTTTTCCACAGATGGGGGCAGGAGGGTGTCGGGGGGATGGTTTCGGGGTGATTCGAGCGCATCACATGTACTGTGCAGTCGTCCTCTCTGCTGATGAACATCTGTATTTGCAGCCACTCCCCGGCGCCGGCGTCACCGCCTCGGCTCCACCCAGATCATCGGGCACTGGATTCTCACACGGAGCCGCAACCTAGATCCCTCCTCGCATGCGCAGTTTACAGTAGAGTTTGCGCTCCTGTGAGAATCTAAGGCCACCGATCTGACAGGTGGCGGCGCTTATGCGGTGATGCAGCGATGGGGAGCGGCTGTGAACACAGGTGAAGCTTCGCTCACTCATCCACCGCTCACCTCCTGCTGTGCAGCCCCCTTCCTAACAGACCACAGACCCAGGCTTTGGGGACCGCAGCTCTACAGCATCGAGTGACAAATTCCAACCGCACCTGAGTGAGCACCACAGACAGATGTGGCCGTGGAGAGCGCAGTCCCGTGATCCTGCTCACGGACGCCTCAGTGGCTAGAGGAGTCCCCCAGTCAGAAACTCCTAAGCGGGGGCCGGGCCACGACCCGGGGGACCAGTGATGTTTCAGACCCAGATGCTGGTTACCCAGAAGTCCACGCTGTGCACAGGGGCTTGCTACCCTTGTCTGTGTCAGCACGGTGGCACGCACACACGGTGTGACTCCAGTACAGTCTGCCTTCCGCTATGGCCTCAGAAGTGCCAGGTGGGTGTCCTAACTCCGGACTACTTAGTGCTGGCACCCTGCCCCTAGGTCAGAGCCACCTCGGAGGGGGAGTGCAAGGCCTGGCCTTGCAGTGACAGACACCAAACAGCTGGTGCCATGGGACCAGGTGGGTCTCGCCCAGCAGGACCCACCCCCAGCACTGACATGTTCCATGCACTGTCGCGCAGCCCTGTCCCCGCGCCTCTGGGTGCCCCTGCAGAGGGGATAGGCCCGCCCTGTCCCTCCAGAATGTTGCCCAAGGCTGTCCCTGTCCACCTGGAGGGTCCTTTCCCTGTCCTAGCTCAGTGGGGCCTGGGCCCGAGCAGCTTGGCACCATGGTGACGGGGGTAGGGGACAGCCCTCCTCTCCCTGCCCCTTGCTGGGGGCAGGTTCTTTCCTGGCAGCTCCTTCAGAGACGGGGCGCCGCCCTCTCACTTCTGGGTTCAACTTCACAGACCGGAGCCTCTGGCCGCCCTGGGCTTGTCTGCTTAGGGGTCAGCCCCACGCCACTCCGCAGGTAGCACCCAGGGCTGCCTTCAGCGGGTGGCCAGGCAGGGCCCTCCCGCTGTGCAGCCCCGGACCGGCCTCCCAGCTCCTAAGCAGGCAGGGGCCAAGGTGGCGCAGGAGGCCGCAGGTCCAGGTTGACAGCAGGTGCACGGAACCCTTTATTGGGCAAGGCCTGTCCTTGGCCTTCAGCGGGGGACGGGGAGGAAGTTAGGGTGGCGCAGCGGGGGAGCCGGCAGGTCGGGCGAGGCGGGACGGGCGGCGGCTCAGGCCTCGGACTCGGCCCCGGCAAAAAGCGGGTTAACGAAGTAGCTGTGGCTGGTGCCCGCGGTGTCCGCCTTCAGGGCCAGGCTGGGAGGCCGCGCAGGGGGCTGCGGGGACACAGGCTCAGGGGGCTGCGGGCGCCGAGACCCCGCCCCGGGGAAGCCCCGCACGCCCTCCCGGGCCCTGGACCCTCACCCGCTCCTTGGAGGCCGCCGCGTCGAACACCGGATTGTGGAAGCCCAGCGGCGCCCCGGCGGGCGCGGGGGCCGCCTGCTCGCGCCAGCTCCACCTGCGCAGGCACGCGGCGTGAGCCCCTGCGGACGGCGCCCGCCCCGCCCGGCCCGCGTACCTGAGCCGCCCCGCGCGGCGTAGCAGCAGCACCGCCGCCAGCAGCGCCAGCAGCGCCAGCAGCAGCGCGGCCGCCACTGCGCCGCCCACGAGCCCCGCCGCGGAGCCGCCCCCGACAGGCGCGCCCGACTCGCGCACGGCGGCCGCCAGGACCCCGAGGGCCTCGCCTGCAACGGAGGGGCCGGCTCAGTGTCCGGACGCGGCGGGCGGGGGTGGGGGCCGGGCGGGGCGCGCGGTACCGTGCTCGGCGACGTCCGCCAGGAGGGCCCGTGCCAGCCGCGCCGCGCCGCCCGTCTCGGGCCCGGTCTCCGCCAGCACCACCTGGATCTCCGTGTCGGCCTCGCGGAGCTGGAGCGAGCGCGGCACCTTGGACACGGCCACTTGCAGCCCCTGGTACTGAGGCTGGGGAAGGGGACAGCGTTGGCCCGGGACTCAGCCCCTCGAGCCTGCGGGGACGCCGGGGCAGGGGCGGGTGGCAGGCAGTGGGCCGCGCGGCGGGGCCCCGGAGGCCCTGCGGTGAGGCATCCGAGGCGGGGGCTGCCGAGGCGGTATGGCCGGGATCGGACCCCCCCACCTGCCGCGGCCCCATTACCGAGGCCAGAAAGGTGTCCAGCAGCCGCGCCCGGTACCGCTCCAGGTCAAACGCTGGACCGTGGGTCAGCGACACGATGGCTCCTGCGGTAGGAGGGCGGAGTTAGCACCGTGGATCCCGGTCGGACAGGGAAACTGAGGCGGCAAACAAGTCAGGGTCCGTCCCAGCAAGCAGGGGCCGGGGTGCTCACCGCAGAGGTCGCAGCACTGGCCCTGGGGCCGGAGGGCGTCGTGGCAGGCGGCCGGGGGACAGCGGCCGCCCAGGGGCTGCAGCAGGGCCGCGCAGATCCACGGCTGGGCCTGGGGAAGCGGGCGCGGCGGTCTGCGCCGAGAGGGCGGACGGCGGGGACCAAGGGCGGCGCCCCCTACCCCCCGACCCCTGCGCTCACCTCGGCGTTGCCGCAGACGCAGCCCGACGGGTCGGCGCAGGCCTCGGCGCCCACGCTCAGCGCGCCCGGCCCGTGGAAGCGCAGGCGGCCCGCGCGGGACGCCAGGAAGGCGGCCAGGTCCTCGGCGCGCGTGAACGTCTGCGGGAGCGGGCACAGCGGGGCCGCCCGGGGCGCAGACACCGTCTGAGCGCCGGGCCCGGAGGCGGGTGCGGGACAGTGGGAAGGACCCCGCCCCCGCCGCTCACCCGGCCCAGCGCCGACACGCTGCGCACGCGCACGGCGCCCGCGAGCCCCGCGCGGAAACCGTCGGAAGGGAACACGACGTCGTCGTGGCGGCAGGGCACGCGGTCGGCGTCCACAAAGAAGAGGCCACGTGCCTCGTCCCCAGAGCGCCACAGGTGCGGGTCATGCCAAGAGAAGCGGTCGGGGTCGCGGAAGAGCGCAGGGGCGCCTGGGAGGCCGCAAGTCCCTGAGCTCCGCCGGCACACGCCTCGCCCTTGGACACGCCCTCTCTCCTGGTCCTGCCTCGGGACACGCCCTCTCCCGGGCCCCGCCCTTGGACACGCCCTCCCTGCGCCCCGCCCTTGGACACGCCCTCCAGAGCCCCACCTTGGACACGCCCTCTCTCCTGGTCCTGCCTCGGGACACGCCCTCTCCGGGGCCCCGCCCTTGGACACGCCCTCCCTGCGCCCCGCCCTTGGACACGCCCTCTCTCCTGGTCCTGCCTCTGGACACGCCCTCTCCTGGGCCCGGCCTTGGGCACGCCCTCCTTGGGCACGCCCTCCTTGGCCCCGCCCTTGGACGCGCTCTCCATAGCCCCGCCCCCTAGAAACACCCCTCCTGGTCCTGCCTCTGGACACGCCCTCCCCGAGCCCCGCCCTTGGGCGCGCCCTCCCCAGCCGGGTCCGGGGCCGGGTGGCCTCACCTGCGCTGCAGTCCGGGTGCGAGCCCGTGTCTGAGGCACTGAATTCCGCTCCCGAGGCCAGGACGAGTTCCCCATCCAGCGGCAGGAGCTGCAGGAGGCGTGGGCTGAGGCGGCACCAGGCGGTTGTCCCGGCTGGCTCGGCACGCATCCCCGCGCCCGGGGTCCCCAGGGAGGAGGTCCCGCACCGAGATCGCGGAACGCGCCAGGGCGAGATCAGGGCCGAGGCTAGCAGGGCGAGTAGGACACGGCCATGGAAAGGAAGGGGAAGAGTGTTCTGCGCGGGGCGGGGGAGACAGCGCGTGCGAAGGCTCCAGGGTCCTGTAACTCTGAGCCGGAGGGTCGCACAGGCCGAGAAGCAGGACCCTGGGGAGCTTGGGGCAGCGGGTGGCACCTGCGAGGGCTGTTGCCCTCCCCATCCCCCTGAGACACTGTTTAAGGGAAGGGCTCCAGGAGCTAAACTTCAACACGTTGACAGGCCCTGGGGAGCCTAAAGGCAGCTCGCAGCACCGGCGGCGGGGGAGGGGCTCGGGGTGGGGCAGAGGGGCTCGGGCGGAGGCAGGGAGGGTAAGGGCGCCTTGAAGTCGCCCCTGTCATCCCCCAGGCCTGGGTGCCACCATGGCAGCCCCTCCCCACAGTAGCTGGGTGTCGGCTGAAATGAGGGTGACGAACCAGCTGCCCCTCACTCCCACTGCCCCCCGAGCCCCAGGACCCCCTTTCTCTTTCACCCTCCCCCATGCTTTTCCATCAGGGGTTGAGGGGCGGCCTGGGCCGGGGGAGCTGCTCCGTGCAGGGGCCTCAGCACTGTCAGGGTCCGCCCGGCACAGCCTCCTGTCCCACCTTAGCGGCGGCGGGGCCTGCCCTCAGCCCTTCCCGGACCAGCAGACCAACCCCAGGGTGTGAGGTCCCAGGCCAGCTGCGCCCACACCTGAAGGTGCCGCACCGGACAGCAAGGCAGCTCCCCGACAGATGCCAGAGGAGCTTGGGACAGAGGGCAGGAATGTGCCAGAAGCACAACAGCACCTCTGGAAGGGGAGGTACTGGAAGTGGGAAACATGACCAAGAACGCATTTCTCAAAAGAAGCAAAGGGAAGGCTATCAATATGAAAATCCCAGCAGCTGGATGGATGAGCACAACTGGTGGGATAACATCAAGACTGATCCGGCTGAAGATGACTCCGGTGTCCACGGCGTGGACCACAGGAGCCAGCAGGAGACAGGGAGAAACCCGGAGACCCAGGGGCAGACATGCAAGAGCCAGAATCTACACGCAAGGTGGGGGAGAAGAGAAAGTATTTGAAGAAACAATGAAGATGAACTTTCCAGATGTGAAGCAAGCTGGGAAACCTCAGACCGAACGGTCCCACGGAGTGCCAAGAGCCGCACCTACACAGGGGCCAGTACGTCCATGAATATCAGGGGCGAAGAGAACTTCTGCAAGCTTCAGAAAGAAAGAACAGGTCGCCCAGGAAGGAAAAAAAAATGCAGATTCAGATTTCTCAGCACCAACAATGGATGCAAAAAGACAAGAGCGTAATATTTTATATATGGAAGGAACAGAACTTTCAATCTCGAATTTTCTATCCAGCCAAACTGCTGTTCAAATGTGAGGGTATAAGAAAAATGTCTACAAGCCTAAACGGCTTCGGAACGATGCTCACAAAGGCCTGCCCCAAACACATGCCCGGAGGAAGTAAGGAGCAGAAATCCAGAGGCTTCCAACAGACACGAGAAGTAAGAGTGATGGAATACTTTGGTAAGCTAATTGTCGCCTTTTTAAAAATCTAAAAACTAAGACTAAAATGTGATGGAGCAGGAGACCAAAGGGCACCGGCGTGCACTAAGGAACTTGCTTGTTCAAGGGAAGATACAGATGTTGAAAGGTTTTTAAGAAATCAATAAAACTTAAAAAAAGATTTTAAGAATCAATAGAACTACCAAACTTGAAAACCTAGATGAAATGTATCAATTTCTAGAAAATTTCAAAATGTCAAAACTGCCCAATTTACTCATAAATCAGATGCAAAAATCCTAAATAAAATGTTAGCTAACTAGAACCAATAGTGTATATTTAAAATGCTGTATATTTGTGTATATTTGTCAGCTGTGACGAACACACTGCTTTGGTGGGGGAGGCTGTGCCTGGGCGCAGGGTACGGCGTGGGGGGGGGATCTCTGTACTTTCTGCTGAATTTTGCTGTGAGCCTAAAAATGCTATGAAAAATAAAGTCTTCAAGTTTCTTTAAATTAGATTTTAAAAATACATGGTGGTCAAGTAGCATTCAGGTGCCAAGAATGCAGGGACAGAGGAGTGGGGCCTCCTCCCTCCAGACTACCGGGCAGGCATGCATGGCAGTGTGCCAGCAAAATCAATAGATTGTGGCAGAGGGAAGTCCAGTGTTTTGAAGAAGTGGTACATTTTGTAGAGATGCGGTCTCACTGTGTTGCTGAGGCTGGTCTCAAACTCCTGCTCTCCAGAGATCCTCCCACCTGGCTTCCCAAAGCACCAGGATTACAGGCTGAGCCAGGCACCCTGCACTGGAGGTGGTACTTTGACCTCACCTGCCCCCACCAGGTGCCCGGAGGCTATCAGTCTTGCAAGAGTTCAACCTCAGGAAACTTCATTTAAAAAGGGGGGTGGGGGATCACATCTCAATCAGCGTAGAAAGAAAAAGACACTGAAAAAGTTCAACATATTTATGATTTTTTTTTTTTTTGAGACAGGGTCTTGCTCTGTCTTCTGGGCTTAGAGTGCAGTGGCATCATCATAGCTCACTGCAACCTCCAACTCCTGGGCTCAAGTGATCCTCCTGCCTAGATACTACAGGTGTGCACCACCACGCCCAGTTAATTTTCTATTTTTAGTAGAGACGGGGTCTCGCTCTTGCTCAGGCTGGTCTCGAACTCCTGAGCTCAAGCGATCCTCCCGCTTCGGCCTCCCAGAGTGCCAGGATTACAGGCACGAGCCACCGCGCCCGGCCCTGTTTATGATTTTTAAAAAATCTGTTAGCAAACTAGCAATAGAGTAGAATTTCCACAGTGGAATAAAGTTTACATACCGAAAACCTGCAGCAGACATTACAGTGGACGGAGAAACTTGGAATGCTTCTCTCTAACGTGAGAACAAGACAGGGATGCCCACTTTTATCGCTTTTCTTTAACACAGAGTAGCGGTCCCAGCCCACGGAGAGAAGAGGAGCAGGAGTTAGGACGGGAAAGGACGAGGAACACCTGTCGTTACTTGCAAAAATGACCACCGAGAGAATAATGTTTAAATATGGGCACCACGCATGACAGAAAGCAAAGCTATGGAGTAATCACGAATGAGCCGCACCAGACCCTGCGGGGCGCAGCAAGACTACAGCAGAGGACGTGGGCGACGCGACCCCCCGGAGCCAGCCCGCGCCGCACGGCGGAAGCCGCCCAAGTGCAGGTTCGGGCGGCGGCGGGGGCTCCGGGTCGCCCACTCCAGGCTGCTCCGCAACCAGCAACCCCCCGGAGCACCTCGGAGCCGAAGGGCGAAGCGGGCGGACGCGGGACGGGCCAAGAGCCCGCGCGCCGGGGGCTGGCGAGCGGTCGCGGGAGCCGGCCCCGCACGCGCCCCGCAGGACACAGCGACGCCCCGTGACCGCGGAGCGGCGGGGGAGGGGCGCCCAGCAAAACGCCAGACCCGCGAGAAAGCCGCGCAGACGGGAGGGGCGGCAGGGCCGGGGAGGGCTCCAAAGCAGGAAACAAAGGCAGCGCCGGGTCACTCGGCCACGTTCCCGCCCGGGCTCCCGGGGCAGCGGGGCCAGCGCCGCCAGGGGGCGAGGAGGGCGGCCCCACCCGGCGGATCGCAGGGGTGGCGGACCAGGTGGGGAGCAGGCGTCTCACCTAGTTCCCGGAAAGGGAGGGGACGGACGCCAGGGCCAGGCGGAGAGCCCTGGTCACTGTGTGCGCGTGGACGGACGGACGGACGGATGAACGAAGGGAGAATGAAGTCGCCCCCAAGCTCTCGCAAGGGAGAGCATCAAAGTGACGAAGCCGGCGGCAGGAGCCCGGACCCCTCGCCCCGACCCCCCTGCCCGCTCGCGCTGCGCGGTCGCCGGGGTTGCGCACGTGCTGCGGGGCGGGGCCTGCGGTGCCGCCGCCGCACTTTAGTCTCGGGCTGGGCCCGGCGGACGGGCGTCCTGCCTGCGGGACCCGGGGACCCCGCCCCGCTCGCGGCGCCCTCACGAAGGGTGGCTGGTGCCGGTGGGCACGCGGGCGACAGGACCGGTGACCAGACAGCCGCTCGGGGAGGGCTTTCACCTCCAAGGACTCGGAAGCCCGGCACGAAGATGTCACCCAGGGCCCCCCCGAGGCTGCGACTCTGCCCTGTGCCGTGACAAGGCCACAGAGGACGGAGACCGAATGGGCTGGGCTGTGACCGACAGAACTGCATTTTGCGGACACTGAAATCGAATTTCCTGCACTTTTCAAGTGCCACAAAATACGTTTTTCTTTTGATTTTCCCCCAGCCGTTCACAAAGGTGAAAAGCGTCCCCAGCTGCGCGTAGGGCTGCCCTGGGCCCCGCTCGGCGACGCTGCGGACCCCGCGGTCACGGAACCCGCGTCCTCCGGATCCCGCACACCGGCGCTGCGTGCGGCCTCGGGCGCAGTATCAGGCGCCGCGACGAGGCCGCGCTTTGCGGGGAGGGAAGACGGGCCGGGCCGGGCCGAGGGCTGTGGGGACAGGAGGCGCCTCCCTCCCTCCACGGGGCCCAGACGGCCCCTCCGGGGACCCCCCACCTGCCCGAAGCCGCGCCCACCTGGGCGGGGCCGCCCTGGGGACGCGGCAGCCGAGAAGGAGCGGCCGGGCCGTCGCCCCGCCTGCAGCAGCCGCAGCCCGCGCCTTACCATGTCCGAGATGGCGTGACCCTGCCGCACCAGGACCGACACCAGCTGCGGGACGAAGCCGCGTCAGCACCGGGTGGCGGGAGAATCCCGCCCCCGCCCGGCCACGCAGGCCCCCAGCGGGGACTCCGAGCACCTTGTCCGCCGGGAACGCGACTGCGCCGCCCGCGCACGGGGTCCGGTTCTGGCTCCAGTTGGCGGCGTCGTCGAAGTCAGTGTTGGGGATCCAGGCTTTGTAGGCGGCCCGGGTCAGCGCTGGGGAGGGGGGGCTGAGTGCCTGCCCTGTTCCTGCCCGCACGTCCTCTCCCCCCAGGACGACCCGCTCAGAGAGGCGCGGCGGCCCGACGGGCCACAGCCGGGGCGCATATGGGGTCCCTTGGCGCGTCACGCCAGACCCCGCGGGAGCCCTGCCTCCGCGCTCTCCGACGGACTTCTACTGCATCTGCAGAGCCCGCTCAGACGTGCCCTCCTACAGGACGCCCACCTGGATCGCCTCCCCGCCCCGCCCCGTTTGCCCGGCGCTGAAGCAGAGGATAGGGTGGTCAAGGACAGTGACAACGGGGGCAGGGAGGAGGATGGGGCAGCGCAGGCCTCTTCCTCCACCTGGAAATCAGGAGGGCTTCCTGGAGGAGTCCGACCAGGCCAGGAAGAGCTGCGGCAGAAAACGCATCCCAGCCGTGCGAAGAAGGGGCGGGGAGGGGGCAGAGCCGAGCCCTGACCCGGGGCTGTGTCCGGAGGGGGCCGTGAGGGGCTCAGGGCAGGGGCACAGGTGCTCAGGGACCGCGACCGAGGCAGGCTGCGGAGCCACAGCGCAGTAGCTACTCCGGGCAGGGCTGAGGACGGTGGCGGCGACGCCTCCCGCTTCGCCCAGGCCGCGCCCGCGCTCGCCCGAGGAGGGGCCCAGGCCGGATTCGGGGCCCCCCAAACCCCCGCCGCCCGCCGCGCCCCCGGCCCGCGTCGGCGCGTCCGGCTCACCGCACAGCTGCAGCCACAGCAGCAGCCCGCCCCGCGCGCCCATCGCGCCGCTCCGCTCGCTGGTGGGGACTTCGCCCCCGGCGCCCACGTGACCGGGCGGGGCGGGTGGGGGCGCCGGGGTCGGTTACATATTCACCTCGGACTCAGCGTCTCCGCACCGCCCTCCAGGGCCTGCGGACCTGCCGGGTGAAATGCGGGTCGTGTGGGGCGGTGGGGCAGGAAGCAACTTCTAGGCTGTCCCCTTCTCTGTCCTGGGAGCCTGGGGCCGAACCTAGTTTGCTCACCTGTTGAGGACGCCTCCTGCCCGGGCCTGCACGGACTGTGGATGGTGGTCGGATGACAGAGGAGGAGAGTGGAGGGAAGATACGTGGAGGGTCCACAAAGGTGGAGAATAATGGGTGCTGAGCCGTGGACAACTGATGGAGGGCCGCATGGGTGGCAGAAGAGTGGATGGCGGGTGGCAGATAGATGGATGGTGGATGGTGGGTGGGTGGTGGATGGTGGATGGTGGATGGGTGGATGGTGGGTGGTGGATGGTGGGTGGGTGGTAGGTGGTGGACGGTGGATGGGTAGATGGTGGATGGATGGATGGATGGCTGGATGGTGGGTGGGTGGTAGATGGTGGGTGGGTGGTGGATGGTGGATGGATGGATGGGTGGATGGTGGGTGGGTGGTGGATAGATGGATGGATGGGTGGGCCTGTGGGAGGTGGAGGATGGGTGGGCCGACCGAGGGGTGGTGGGTGAATACCTCCCACATGAATGTGCCTTTATCCAACTAACTAATCTTTGCTTCTTCCTGAGCAAGATAATTCACCGGAGGAAGGAGCCCGCCGCTGGGGGGCGTGCTGCCTCTTTTTATGCCCCCGGCAGGGGCTGCGACTTCTCTGGCCGCACTCTCTCCTGGTGGGGTCGCCTTCAGGCGGAAGCACCTGCTCTACGGGTGTCGGGGCGTCAGCCATGCCTGAGACCAGGAGGGTGGGTGCGCGAGGTCCTAGGGTTTGGCCTTGGCCCCCTGCTGGGCTCACAGGAAGTTCCATCCTCCAAGGTAGCCTCAACCAGGAGCAAAGGGGACATTTCTGGGTCATGTTTGGCCTTTCGTCTTGTATCACTTCTCCTGGGGAAGGAAGCAGTGTACTGATTGGGCCTCCTGGAATTCCACCCTGGCGCGTCCAGCTCTGCACCCCTCCCCTCTGGCTCTCCATGCAGAGATGTGTGGGGCTGAGCAAACGTCACCGCCCGGGGCCCAGAGTCCGGGTCTGCCCGAGACTGGGGCTCCTTCTCCTGACACAGGAAGTGGACTGCACTACCGGCCGCGCGCAGGGGAGGCTGCAGGGGGTTAAATGGCCGGGACTTAGGGAAACAGAACCTCTGACCGCTGCCCCCCGGCAGGCCATTCCCAGAGGGACTGTGCTGCGCAGCGGGCAGTGAGGCCGCCCCGGCAGTCAGGGGAGTCCCGAAAGAGGCAACAGTAACAAGACAGTAACACAAGACAGGAAGGATGAGGTCAAACCAGCAGCCACAATGCAGAGGTTGAATTGCAGGTGGCAGAACGGGAGGGGCTGGGGCCAGCTGGCCGTGGGGTAGTGGCATGCCCCACCCTGACAGGGGCGTCCCCGAGTGGAAACGGTAGGCGGGTCCAGCTGTCAGAGGGTGGCCCAGAGAGGAGCTCACACGAGCCAAGCGTCAGGCACCATCCCTGGCCCCGAGCAGCCACGGGGTACTGGGACCACTGAGGAGAGAGACATGAGGCAAGGAGTGGCCGGTCCACACTGCAGGTGCTGTGTGCAAGGGCCACAGAAGGCCCCTGACCACAGGCACAGGTGCCCTGGCCGCTCGAGCACACATGTGGGCACAAGCTTGCAAACTGGTCAGGACTGCAGCAGGAAGTGGGAGAAACACAAAGCCCCACAGTTTCCTTGAGGAACTAGGAAATCTCGTGGCAAAGCTGCTTCAGGTAAGGCTAGATCCAGGGGCTTGGAGGTTACTCTTAGGGCTCAGTCTCTGTGTCTGTCTGTCTCTGTTTCGGCTCAGCTGCCCTCCTGTGTTGGTTCCCTTGTGCACACAG